TGCGTGGAGCTCTGGGCTCCTGGGTTTGGCATGGCCCAGTCCTGGCTGCTGTGGAACATCCGGTGGGTAAACCAGCAGACGAAAGATATCTTACAGAAGATGGACCAACATCAAGGATGATTTTCCCTCTGTGGGAAGTTGTAATGGTTCTAACTAAAAGTTTGTGGAAAATGTAATTAAAGCTAAGTTGATTTTGGTACAAACTTAAAAAAATAGAATCTATACATTGTCTTCAGTGTACTCTTTAAAAAAAATTATGCATTGATCTCAAACTTTTTGCACAAAAATAAACTTATCTTCTGAGTTCAGTTTTTGCCATACACTCTCAGAAGTGCCTGCCTGTATGGTATAGAGGAGAGGAGTTTCAGTCTGGGTGGAAGTTTGAGCCATCATCTGACCACTTTTCAACAACCTCATTACCACACGGACGGGGCCTCCTCACCTGTGCAAAAGGCTGAGGTCTACCTCAGTAGAGTCAGCAATAAAATAAATAAAACAAAATTAAAATAAAATAAAAAAGTCATCCTCTCTTACGGGCAGGTCTTTCTTTCTCTCTCTTTCTCTCTGTTTTTGACTTGGGTCTGAAATATGAAGTGTAAAATTCTAGATATAAATCATTCCTAAGTTTCAAATGCTCTTTTCAGTAATAGTTATTACTGTTAGCTTCTTACTCTGTCTAGTTTATAAACTAAACTCTGTTATTGGTATGTAGGCATAAAGAAAAACATAGGATATATGTTGGATTCAGTATTATCCATGGTAACAGGCAACCACTGGAAGTTTGGGGATGTATTTTTCCCTAGATTCGGGAGCAGCTATGATCATCTCCTGTTCTCTCTTTCCAAGATGGTAACTGTGAAGGAAGATACTGTTTTTTTAAAAGGAAGTTTTAAAAACAATGTTTATCAATACATTAGAAAGGCAGAACAACAGAAAGGCAGTGGAGCAGGGAGGCAGGACAGAGGGATGGAGAGAGACAGAGAATCTCCCCAAATGGTTCACTTCCCAAATGGCCCTAATAGCCAGGCACGGGGCAGGCTGAGGCCAGGAACTCCATCCAGGTCTCCCATGGGGGTGGCAGGCCAAAGGACTTCGGCCACCATCTGCAGCCTTCCCAGGTGTACTAGCAGGGAGTTGGAGGGCGTTTTGGAGGAGCCAGACTTGAACTGTCACTACAATCTGGGATGCTGGGGTCTCAAGTGGTGGCTTAATTTGCTGTGCCACACTGTTGGTCCCCCAAATAAGTTTTACTTTTCATGGTTGCATTTACCATCAGTGTGTCAGATACCAATTCATGGATCATTTGTAACTTTTCTGTTTGAGGTAGGAAAAAAGTCCCCCACTTTGGTGAAGGGACTACCATGTGTATGTACCATTTCATCAGCTGTGGGGTGGATAGCAGAGGGAGCCGTGAACAATGCAAGTGGAAATGTAACTTGGTTCCACGTTCCAGAATGTGTTGAGAGGCACCTCACAGGTCAGATGTCATCCAGCAAACAGGGCTGTTGATACAAGGGACTGGAAGAAATGGCTGGGAGGGGCATATGGCTAGGGGCAAAGAGATCAGGGTGGAATGGGAGAAAAATGTCATGAATGTTCTATAGAGACTGCCTCAAAGGTATCCAGTGGCTGGCTGGGTGCTGGGGCTAAGGAAGATTGGCGAGATCTGGAGAGAACTCTGAGGCAGCTGGCGTAGATGATGGCTGGGGCATAGGGGAGAGAAGTTGCCAATAACAAACAGAAAACACAGAGCGGGAAACCGATTTTGAAAATTAGAGAAACAATGAGTCTGATTTTAGCTCAGCCAGTTAGCAGGGAGGCGGAAATATGGGACAGGCAAATGAAAACACAGGCCTTGAGCTGAGCAGAGGTCAAGACTGAAGATAAAGATTTGTTTGTGGAGTCATTCCCATAAAGGCCATGGCCGAAATCTAGGCAGTGGATGAAATCATTCTTAGGGAATGTGTTGATCAAGAAGATTGGCCGTTTCCACAGCCTTGGGGGAATACTGACACTTGTGGGATGGTTGCAGGGGGTGAGCAGCATGGGTGGGAAATGGGAGCAAAAAAACATGAGACCTGTGTCGTGGTGGGGAGAGAGGGCAGCTAAGGCGATGAGAATATTCAGAGGTGTAGAGCCAGGAAAAGGGGAGCAGCAAGCCCAGGTCTTGGAGGGGCAGAGGAGCTTGTTTCTCAGTAGCTCATGGGTGACCTCTGTGAGAACTGCTGCAACACAGATGATCAGAGCTGGGTTCATCAAAGAGAAGCGTGCGGGCCTGGGGGCGGGAAGGTTGGGGAGGAGATCTGATCTCTCCAGAGGACATTTCTCTGCTGCCCCTAAACATGTTCCTGTCATCTAGGACTGTGTCCTTGGCTCCGCGCTTGCACAGTGAAGGCTCTCTTGGTTTCAAATAACAGAAAGCCACTCCAGCTGGCTGGAGCCGAAAGATTTATTGGAAGGATACAGAGTTACCTCACAGGACCCAGCGCCTCTGCAAGCACTGGGGGGCCTTTGTTGCCTCTTCTCTTGCTCCCCTCTAGGTGCCTTTGAAATCTTTTTTCCTCTTCCTCTGCTGTCATCACAAAGCAGCTGTTTTCCAAGCCACGTGGCACAAAACACGCCTGTTACCCACTCCTGAGTCATGGTACTCACAGGGTCACTGAGAGGGTCGCTGCTGGCCTTGCTCCAGTTAGTCAGCCTGGGGCCATTTCACTAGAACCAGGCCAGCAAGGTCAAGCTGCACATACACCATCACACGGACAGGGGACAAGGCTAGGCACTGGGATCCAGCAGTGAGGAGAAGACAAAGCTTACAGACCGATGTGGTTGGGCCTTGGCTAATGACAGAAAACAGAAGGTAATGCAAATTGTTTTTCATCTCCCTTTTTTTTTTCTCTTCAAACTCCTAAGAGCCAACCCTAGCAGTGCTCTCCCACTTAGCCACACTGTCATCTTCTAAGAAAGGCGCTGGAACAGCTTTCCAGATCTTATCGTTTCCTCTCTCGACAACCAGTCCTCAAAATACCTGGGCGAGGGCCCAGCGTGATGGCCTAGTGGCCAAGTCCTTACCTTGCAAGGACTGTGATCCCATATGGGTGCCAGTTCATGTCTCAGCTGCTCTACTTCCCACCCAGCTCCTGCTTGTGACCTGGGAAAGCAGAAGAGGATGGCCCAAAGCTTTGGGACCCTGCACCGGTGCGATCAGAAGAAGTTTCTGGCTCGTGGCTTTGGAATAGCTCAGTTCCAGCTACTGCAGCCACCAGGGAAGTGAACCAGTGGACAGAAGATCTTTCTCTGTGTATCTCCTTCTCTCTCTGTAAATCTGACTTTCCAATAAATAATAATAATAATAATAATAAAAAGTACACCCAAGTGAGTCCCCTGTGGCCAGGCCCACAGTCCCCTCTGGGTGAACCATTGCTGATGCCTTGGTTGTGGGGGGCACCCAGAGCTCCTTTTTGGGTTCCCTGATCTTTGGGTTGGATCAGGAGCTACCTGGGATATTCCAAGGCTGTCAGTGACTATGGGAGTGTGGAGTCTACCCATAGGTGCTAATGCTGCTGGCTCTAGCTATTCTGAAATGTCAGCTGTGTCCCTGCCCTTCCTCTGTTGGGTTCCATAAGGCATCCCAGTGTTTTTCCATAAATTCCTGGGCAGTCTCAGTGAGTATGGGTGGATTTTTGTCACTGAGCCCAAACAGACTCAACTGATCCAGGATCAAGGGAATTTTCCAATAGCTGTTCCCAACGTGGCCTCTTGCCTCCCACATCCACCACAGGAAGAGTCTCCCTTCTCCCTTGTCACGCTTCCCAATGAGGCCTAAACAGCAACCACAATTCAACGTTTTGCTGCTATGAGTTGGTGTGAGATTTAAATTTCAATATTTAAAAAAGCCTAAAATCTGCATCATTTATGTTTTGAGATCGGGATCACTTATTTAATTATTCTATTTATGATAAAAATGTTCGCTGAACAAAATTTCTCCCCAAATCAGAAAGGGCTTTCCATTAACTGGCACAAAAACACACAAAACACACAGGCTACAATGACCTGCTTCACTTTAGAAATAACACTTCGTTCATTCACCTTCCTGGTTTTTGATGTTTTCTTCCTTTTAGATCAAGTTTCACTTATTTTAAAATAAGAATTTATTTGTTTAGGAAACTTAACTTTGGAACAGTTCGAGATTTCTAGGAAAACTGTGGAAAGAGTCCCCAGGTATACCCCACCAACTGGTTTCTCCAATGATTAACCTGCATTTGAGCTCTGAAAAACTGTTACAGCTAATGGGCCTATGTCGGCACATTATGATCAACTCAAGTCCATTGCTGATTTCTTTTCATTTGGTGGTTCCATCCAGAAAACCACAATACCTTTAGTTTTCATGTCTCTCGAAGGGCTCCTCCTATCTCTGACAGTTTAAAACTTGATTTTTATTACCTGCTACTACTCTGTATGAGAATGATGCTTGTGTCATGTTTCTATTTTCCCAAATGACATTTCTCCTTGACCTCTAAACATTTAAATAGATTGAAAACATGAATTATAGGAAATAGTGTTTTACAGATGCTGGTAATGCTATGAATCCTAGACATTCGTAAATAAAATCTTAGTATTGATATGATTCTATTGGAATTATTTTAAATAAATGCAAGGCATGGAGAACATGCCCACACGGTGCAGCTGGGATGGCCCCAAGCTGAGGAGGGCTGGGCAGCAGAGGGTTTGCTTCTCCGTAGTGGGAATGGCAGACTCAGGCTGCTGTGAGGGTGCTGCAAGTAGGTCCCCTGCCTGCCGAGCACTGTCCTCCCTCTGTGTGCAGCCAGTGAGGGATCATCTGCATTAGCCCAACCTGGTTTCCTCTTTTGTACGATGAGTGTCCTGGGGCCACTTTGCCATGAGCACTTGGACTCTGAGTCCACTACTGTGGAGAAGTCTTATGTCTTCATTTTCCCAGCAATATATTGCTTCTTGCTTGAAACACAATAAGCACTCAGTACTGGGTGAGTTAAACATGATTTGTTTAATTCAGGTTGAATGAGTGAAGGCCATGGGCACCACTGGCAGGAAAAAGCTGCTCTTCCCCAGACTTCAGAAGCCTAGATGAGTCCGGGACCAGGGACTCAGCGGGGTGGGCAAAGGGGTGGACACTGAGAGAGGTCAGTGAGTGCAACACCCCAGTTCTCAATGTGGCCAGGGCAGACAGGAGGAAGGAATACCAGGAGGCAGTGCCAGCAGCCACAGCCTGACGCAGGGCAGCATCCACCAGGCCCAAACTGCCTCCAAGGATTCTGAGATGCAAGGATCACACCAGCTTCCAGAATGTTCTACTTCCAGAATTTAGTCACAAGTCTGTAGCATTCCATCATCAAGAGTGGAGACTGTGCCTCTTACAATCTCCCCAGAGTTGCCACCAGAGGTCTTCAGTGATGGTCAGGCTTCATCTTGTCCATGCTTCATGGCATATTCAAAGTCTCTAAAGCTGACATGACCATCAGCGTCTTGATCCACTTCCCTAGAAGATGAAACAAAACCTCACTTACACTCGGTTGTTGACAGTGCCTACACATCGCGAGAGAGGAGCCCAGTTTATTGACTTGAAGGTTGGGATCAATGTCTCTGTAATTTTTTTCTTATGTTGATAACACCAACAGTGGGGAAGAATATAAAGGTATTTATTTCAAAAACCAGCAGAAATAATATGTTTATCATACTTCAAGGAGGAAAGCCAAATGCACAGGTTATATTAAAAAAGGAGGAAAGAATGTTTTTCTGGTTATATCCTGTATCTCTCTTTCCAGAAGATATATCAAAAAATACATAGTTGCTTGTATACGGCTACAGATGCCAGAATCCATCCTGCTCAGTCCCTTTTATAAAAGGGGATAGCATCTGTGATATGCTATGTACATCCTACCACATATGTTAAATCCTCTCTAGGTTCCTCACAACACCTAGTATAGTGTAAAAGTCAGGTAAACACTGAGTACAGTTTGGCACAGGTGCAGCTTTTTCTCTCAGGTATTTCTGATGGACAGTTGACTTTGTGGTCGTGGAACCTGCCACTCCAGAGAGTTGACTGAATATTCATTATGCAGATCCGGCTAAATCCTCTCCTTGCAGGCCAGGGAATCCCATATGGGCACTGATTCGTGTCCCAAGTGCTCCACCTCCCTTACAGCTCCCTGCTTGTGGCGTGGGAAAGCAGTCAAGGATGGCCCAAAGCCTTGGGACCCTGCATCTGCATGGGAGACCTGGACAAAGCTCCTGGCTCCTGGTTTCAGATTGGCTCAGATATGGCCATTGTGATCACTTGAGGAGTGAACCAGCGGATGGGAGATCTGACTCTGCTTCTCTCTAGAAATCTGCCTTTTCAATAATTAAAAAAAAAATCTTTAAAAAAATTCATCTGTGACAGAAATGTAGGAGGAGATGAGAAGGGAAAAAATGACTGCCTCTGGCATAATAATGCTTTTTATTCCATGACTCTTTGAATGTTGGTACCAGTGGACTCATTTCACAGACAGACACTGAGCCTTAGATCTTCCATTTGCGGGTTCACACCCAGCCCAAATGATTGTAATGACCAGAGCTGAGCCAGTCTGAAGCCAGAGCAACTGGGCTGTGCTCGGCTGCTTTCCCAGGCACATAGCAGTGCAATGATTCAGAAATGGAGCACTGGAGCTGGAATCTGCTCACGTGGGATGCTGGCATCGCAAGCTGAAGCAGTTTAACCTGATGCGGCACCACACCAGCCCCAGGACTGTTAAATCTAAAAGTAGAGCTTCTTTCTCTATTTCACATTTCCCTGCACAAACAAGACACTCTTGAGAGAAGTGATTATATTGCAATTTCCACATGGCCAACTCTGGTTCCAGAAGTTTCCGCTGGTTTCATTCAAGGCCTCAGAAGCTCTGTTAAATCCCCACAAACACCTGATAAGCTTTTCTGACTCCTCGGAAGAGTAATGAAGATGTGAGTGCCTGGCTGCTCAGCTGAGGGTGCGGTGGCCCCAGCTGGGTTGTCCCTTTGTGTCCCTGGAGCTGCTGAGACAGGGGCTTTTATCCCCGGGCAGAGAGCAGAGAAGTGGCACCCAATCCACACGGCCAAGACAACAAATGTCAGAAGGACAGAATCGCAGCGTAAGCAACGAATTCCATTCATTAGCAGCAAAAGCCCTGGGCATTAAGAAGCGGGTTTGAAAGGATAAATGCTGAGCAGCCACCACAATTCCTCTAGGCGGGGCTTTCTGAAACGACGCCCTGCACGACTCCGACTCCGATGCAGCTTCTGTAGCTCATGGTTGATGCAGATGACACTTGGTTGAAACAAAGGACGTCTCCCACAACACGGGGCTTTATGAAGCCAAGACTGGCCTGCGCAAGAGAGCCACTAATCACTGTAATAGTTTTAAAGCAGGCTTTTAAAATATTGAATTCTAAGATAAACTTTCTGAATATTTCATGCCAAAGTCTCTGAAGTCTATAATGGTTCTGGATAAAGTGATAATTTTTCATTCTTTTGAAGTAGAGAAAAATCTGTGCTTCTCTGCTCCAGGGCAAATCCATGTTGCACTGTGTTCATATAAAATGATTGCAGGCGCACAGGCCATTATTCTTGCTCCTTCTTTTGGTAAAATATACATGACAATTTCATGCTATACAGGACCAAAAGCATAATGTCAGATCTCTTCTAAGGGATTAGAAATAATCAGTACCACACGTTGCTGACTACAGAATATAAATCACTCCTTTTATTAAATTAGGTAATTGAAGATTCTTAATATTGCCTAAGTATTTTTTTTTCCCAAGGAATTGGATTAGATAAATGGCCTTTTTTCTTTCCAGTCTGAACTGGTATGGTTGAACTATAAATCTCAGAGGGTGAGGGGAGTGAGTAACCTAGAGGATAATGTTTAGAATAAGCTACTGTGTGCGTGGGAGCGTGTGCACACGCATGCGTGTTTCTGTTCACTGATTGAGATGAGACATGTTTACACAGAAGGAACACCACTTGCCTGGTTTCCTCAATAAAGAACCTTCACTGTCATTGTGTCGACTTCCAGTTTTTTCTCACTGTCCTCCCCAACGGACACAGGGTAGTCCAGAAATGTTACCATGGGAAAGTTTACACACCAACTGTGGAGCAGCATCCCATTCATACGAAGAAAGCAGGGACGATGTGTGTGTGTGTTTGGAATGAGCCGTGGTAAAATACTTCAGGCCTTCTGACTTTTCTTCCCCATCCCCTATATATGAGCAGATCTGGTTCATCTCAATGAGAGTGAAGAGGAAATTCAAGTCTCGGGGTTATAATTTTAAAGGCTAAAAATCTATGTTGTTTCGCTGCAGACAGAATTATTCTGAAGAAAGAAGATTCCATAGCACCCACATCCGTGTCACCATGGGATGGAAGATCAGATGTGGCTGGTGGGCAGAAGACAAGGTGCCAACGAGCCAGAGAAAATGGCATCGGGAAAACAGCAGAAAGTGTCATTATTTCTGTTCATCCAGCCCTGGGAAGAATAACTCTAGTTCTGAAGCCAAAACCAGTTGTTTTGTGTCACCTATACATTGGAATAAAGTAAAAATTCTGCCATGTTGTAATTTGTTTAAAAGATGTACCTCTTTTTCTGAAAGGCAGAGTTGGGGAGAGTGAGACAGCACTAGACCATCTGCTGAGTCCTCCTCAAATGGCCGTGATGGCCAGCACTGGATCAGGCTGAAGCCCAGAGTGCAGAACTCTGCCTGGGTCTCCTACAGGGGTAACACAGTCTCAAGTACTGGGATCATGTTTTGCTGCTTTCCTAGACACATTAGCATGGAGCTGGACTGGAATGAGAACTGGAATGCAGTCCAACCTGCTGCATGGCAGTGCCAGCCCCAGCACCCTGCTCAACCCACAGCAACCAGTGAACGTCTGTAGAGTGAACGAGTACAAAGAAAAATGAAAAAATAGAGGAAATGGTTTAATAGATTTCACTGCATTAAAACAATAGAATAATCTGGGTTAAATGACATACAGGTGATAAAAGTAACATTTTTGAAAAAATTTTAAATTTGTTTGAAAGGCAAGTGTATCAGCGAGAAAGAGAGAGAATTATCTTCCATCTGCTGGTTCACTATCCCAACAGCCACACAACCAAGTCTGAGCCAGGCTGACTCCAGGAGCCAGGCACCATCTGGAACTCCCACATGGGCAGCAGGGGTGGGTCACCATCCACTGCTTTCCCAGGCACACCAGCAGCAAGCTGAATCAGAAGCACAGCCCAGACAGAACTTGAGCCAGCACTCCATTTGGATGTCACAACTGGCAGATTAACCCACTGTGTCACAACACTGGTCCCAAAAGTGGCATTTTAAAGTAAAAACAAGAATTTAAACTGGCATATACATGGAAATTACAATATTAAAAATTTCTAAATTAATTTGAGACAGACATATTTTAAAAATTATTTGAGACACACATCACACATGCGTACACCTCACATATACTGACTCACTCCCCAAAGGCCTGCAAGTGGCAGGGACTAAGCCAACAGCAGAATCAGACACTGGGGACACAATCGAGGAGTCTCATGTTGGTGGCAGGAAATCACCTTGAGCCATCACTGCTGCCTCCCAGGGTTTGCCTTGGCAGAAAGTTGGAGCCAGAATTTGGGCATTGAACCCAGACACTCTGATGTGGGATGTGGGTGTCTCAACCCCAGGCTAAATGCTTGGTTCCATACTTGGTTCCAATTTATGTTCATTTGGGAGGAAGTTGAAGGCTATATGCTAAACAGACAGTTGTCTCATGAAAATGATAGTTATGGATAGTTGTGTTGTAATGTTCAACTGAAGGAATATTTCTTTCTTTTTGTCTGAAGTTTTCTAAACAAGTGGCCTTTATTGCACACTAGACCAGTTTGTTCACCTCAGCCCTACTGACATCTTGGATAGGGTAATGCTGTTTCTAATAGAAATGTGATGTCCTGGGCATCCTATGATATTTAGCAGATGGAGTTCCAGGCTCGTGGCTTCTACTTGCTGTCAGTAGTGTCTACTCCCCGCCCAGGATGACAACCAAAAATGCTCCCATGAAATTACCAGGTGTTCCCTGGGTGGACAAAATCATCCTTGGTTGAGAAGCACTGAGCTGGAGGAACCATAGTTTACTCTATACTTCCTAATATAATGCTTTAATACCATTTTAAACAGGCAAAGTGATTTCAAGGTAACTAAGGCACACCTGTTGCCAGAATGAATTGTGCTGGTCATTGCCCCAACACCATCTGATACACAACAAGGTTTTTTAGTTGGCTGGTTTTGAGGTGAGGGGAGATTGAGAGCGAGACAAGTGCAGTCCCTGTGCTGATCCATTCCCCAGATGCCTGCAGTGGCCAGGGCTGGGCAGGAGCTGCAACCAGGAGCCTGGAACACAATCCAAGTCTCCTGTATTAGTGGCCGAACACTAGGATAAAAGTCAGCACTAAGATTTCAAATTGGTTCCAGGGAAGATCCACCTGACAGGTGA